TGAGGGTAGATTTTTCTCATTTTGCTCATCATATTTATGAAATTTTTTTCAATCATTTCAACCCAAGCAAGGTGATAATTCCACTAAGATGTGGGGGTGGAGGGCATTGTGAGGACAGTGAGTGAAAGAGAATGAGAAGAGTTCAGTGAGGAGAAGTGAGGAAAAGCACAATAAAGTAACAGGGCTCAGGAAGACAAAAGATGTTGATTGAAGTTGCATTTAAATTTTTGAAGATTGTAGGTAGCAGGGAAGCATGAAATCAGGAGGAAGTTCCATAGGTGAGAAGTGTGAAAAGAGAAACTGTTAAAATAGAAGTGGCAGTTGCATCTAGCTAGTTCAACAGTAAAATGGTGAGTCATAGTTGCCAGTCTAGTAGCACATTTAAATTCATGTAGTTGAGATAATAAGGAAAATTAGCTCATCAGAATGGTTGTCATGAAAATATTTGTAGAAAAGAGAGGGAAGCCATGTCATATTGGTGAGAAAATGAATGAAGTCGATATGCCCAGTCAGTATCGATTACATTACAGACCCTTCTTTGAATTTCGTCAGGTCAGGTTCAATTACATTACAGACCCTTCTTTGAATTTTGTCAAGAATCTTGAGATATACAACAACAGCACCAGACCAGATAGTGTAGCAGTATCTAATGCTTGGACAAATGGTAGATTTGTAAATATGTAAGATGGATTCTGATGAGAAAAATTTTCTGGCAGTGAACCAACTTTCCTTGCAGTAGAAATAGCAACTGATTCAATATAGTCACTCCCCTTCATGTCAGTGAAAAACGTGAGACCAAGAAGGTATAGAGTGTTGTAGTTTAACATCAGCTGATGACAGACAGAAATGGTTCTCTATGGTAATTAAATGAAAGCAGTTTTGTTTTGGAGGCATTCAAATTTACAGGCCATTTCTTGCCCCAGTTAACCACTGATTAGAAGTCCTTTTTGAAAGCAGTTATCAGATTTACTTTGTCAGATCTGTTGGATGGAGTAGAACACTCACGTTTGTCTGAAATGATCTGAAAAAGTGCCCATTTAACAAGACTTTCATTAGATGATTTGTTAAGAACAATTCAATTAAGCCAAATATTTGTCCTGTGACACTGTAGCCCTTGGGTTTACAGAGAAGGCCAGCATGCCAAACCCTGTCAAATGCCTTTGAAATATACAGCCTAAACTTCATCATTCTTATTTAAAGCTTCATAAACAAATTCACTGGTAGACCTGGTGAAATGGAAGCCATATTGTTTGCCCAAAAGAAGGTTATATGAAGTAAGATTCTTAACTAATTCAGTGTTCATTAGAGTCTTGAGTACTTTGCTAAAATGAGGTAAGGCACTAATAGGGCAATAATTTGGGTCAAAATGCACATAGCACTCAGTAGAGCCTCTGTTCATTTTTTTTAATCATTTCATCTCATGCAAGGCAGTAAAACCACTAAGACACAAGAGGTTATTGAAGGTGAAAGAATAAGAAAAAAGAGAAACCTTATTAAGGAGCGGGAACAATATATAGATGGGTAAATTGTCACAATTTTATATTTTTAATTTTGCACATGTGCATTGTTTTTGATTTTGTTGACTTGCACAGCAGTAGGGTCAGTTAGGCACTGACTGAAAAAAAGCACCATGACACAATTCACTCCATCAAAAATTTGGAAATGGCATGCTGTACTGCTTGGCATTTGCACTCTGGAAGCTCCAATACAAAAATTTCAGAGTGTTTAGTGTTAAATCTGAGGATAGTGCAGAGGTTTTAGAAAGAGTTGGATGATATATCCAGTCAATATCATGGTGTTTGGAGTGATCATTAGTGATGGCGACGTTATGTCTACATTCATTTTCCCACCAGCCCTCAGACACAACACAAAGGCCTAGATCAAGTGCCTTGAGGAGGTAGTGCTGCCCTGGGTAAATAGGATGGCTGCTGGAAGACCCTATGTCAACAGCACTCTGCACCAGGCCATACAAACAGGAGAACCTGCCAAATATAGGGGGTATATTTGGAGGTGAAATTGTCTGGCAGCCATGACTGGCTGTTAGACAATTTCTGTCATCACATCACCCCTACATCTGGCCACCTAACTCTTCAAACTGCAACCTCCTTGATTATTATGTGTGGGGTACAGTTGAGTGAGAGAGCAACAAAACTCATTGTAACATCAAAGATGAACTGAAGGCAAGGATTATGGCAGCATTCACAAACTTAAACAAGGAGACAATCCAGAAAAGTTGCAGGAGATTTTGAAGTTGTCTGGAGGCAGTTGTTGAAGTCATGCTGAATTTATTGAATAAATTTACTCTTTAGTATTTCAAGGTAATTTTGTGTAATTTTGGTAAATAGAAAAATGTTAAAATGAAATGCCAGTGTTATTTTCATTTTTGCGTAATTTAGACAATTTATCCATTGCACCCTGTAGAAGAGTAATCAAGAAAACAGTAGATAATGATTGACATTTCATTTAAATTTTTGAAGATCAAAGTTGGCTCGAAAGCATGGAGCCAGAAGAGAATTCCACCAGTGAAAAGTGTGAGAAAAGAAACTGTGAGCATAGAACTTATTGTTATATCTATCCAATACAACTGTGGATTGATGAGATCTTGCTGCCAATCTTGAACTGTGATTAAATTCATGAAGCGAAGATTTCATCTGAACAATTACCATGAAAGCATTTATAGTAAAGGCACAGGGAAGCTACATTATGGCAATGGGACTGAAACCGAAATGCCAGATCAACACCAGTAATATATTGATTCTTCTTTGGATTTTATCAAGAATCTCTAAATATACAGCTGGAGCAACAGATAGCAGAAGATAGATTCTAGCGAAAAAAACTGTCTAGCATGACACAGTGAACCAACTTTCTTAGCAGCAGATCTTGCAATGGATTAAATATAATCTTTCCACTTCATGCCAGCTTAGAATGTTAGTCCAAGAAGGTGCAATGCGTCACTCTTCTGGAGGTTGGCATCAGCCATGCTGATGGGAGGTAGAAAGGGGTCTCTCAAATGATTAATAGAGAGAAGTTTTGGAGGTGTTAAAGTTAACATGACAACCCTTTCCCCAGTTAACAACAGACTGTAGGTCATTTCGTAGATCAGCTTCCAATTTTACTTTATCAAACTAATCAGACTTACTATCAAGACAGGAGTAAATGGTTGTATCATCAGCATGGATGAGATGATAGCAGAAAGGGGGAAATATGGCAGAGATACTCCAGATGAATTGAGAGTGGAGTTGGAAGAGAATTTCCAAGCAAACACTGACTTATTGAAGAGAGGAGAGACTGAGGATTTGCTTTTGATCAGCACACTCTTGCAGAGCCACCAATAATCTCTAAAACCAAACTTGTGAGAGACTATACAGTGTCTTATTCTATCAGAAAATAGTGACTTTGCTTTTTTGGGGACACATTTGCACCCATTACAAGCAATGACAAAGAGACATCTGTTACGGCTGGATGTATATAACCAGAAGAGATTCTTGTGAGCTATAATGGTTGAACAAGTAGGAAAGAACCAAGGAGAAGATTGTGGTTTCACTTGGTATTTCCATACTGGCATGAAAGATTTGATGCCAGCTTTCACCCAGAAAGAGTGCATATTTCTCAACCTGAGCATTGAAGTCACTGAACACAAAGATATTTGTAGATGAGTGTAGAGAAAGGCTATACTATCAGAAATTATATCTAGCAAGTAACAGTAATGAGAGGAAAGGGAAAAGAGATAACTAACTGAGTTTAATAGTGAAAGTCAGAAGCACATGTAAAAACAGTTTGGGGACTCAAGAGAGAGTTCTCTTTTCACTGACAGATGTTTGTGAACATAGACACCAAGCGTGTGGACACTAGAGTCCTTCCAAAAGAGAGGAATATAGCCAGGAACAGAGGATTCAGTGGAAGAGATTGATGAATTCAGATTAGTTTCACAAAGAACTACGATGTCTGGAGAGTGTTCCGAGAGAAACAGTTCCATACTGCAGAAATTGGTATGAACACCAAGAATGTTGAAGAAAGATTGAGGGGTTTAGGTGATTTTTGGTGAGCTGGTTTTGTTTTATTGCTTTTTGGTCATTGTATATTTTTAAAGGTGTAAAAGGCTAAGAATAAAGGTCACATGAATTGGCCAGGAACTGGCACAGATTGCAGCATAGTGATCCTCAGGGTTGGTCTCCAAAAAAGTGCTTGCAAAGACACCTATCCATGCACTACATGTCACTACAAGTATTAAGATAGTATGCAGCTGCTGATCAGAGCAGCTTAAGGCTCCTATGCAGCAGCCAGAAAACTGCCAACCCAGTACCCTCAATCTGAAGAGCCAAAGCTTCCTGCCAGTCATATCACCAAAAATTCATCGTAGACATATTAAGGACTCAGAAGACAGTACCAAAAACCCTATCCTAAAAGGAAAAGGGATAAACCTCTACACAAGTTGAAAAGAAGCAGGATAAGTATGGACTGGGCGATAGGTAGACCTATCTACTATCTAGTTCCCACACTGTTTTTACTGGACAATAGGCTAGTAGATTAAAGCATTGGTTTGTGAATTTGGTGACAGTAACTGTGAGTTCAATCCTTGGGCCAGGCAATGTATACTTGGACTCAGTGGAAACAGGGCAAGCAATAACTAAGCAGTACAAAATAAGAACTAGACAATATATTCCTAGCCAGGGTCAGCAGAATGAGAACAATCTACCCCCATAGATTTACAAACTCCTGATAAATAATGATAGTAATTATAACAAAAACAATATTTCAATATTCTGTCAATAGTTTCTGATACATATTAAAAATTTTGTATACTAGATAACTTTGTTTTTATCATCCTTTCACAGACCTCTTCACTCTTAAGTTTATATTTTTATTTTCAAAGTGGATATATTAAAGATACAAATATCATTTGCATTTATATTATAATTTTCAATTGGGAATTGTAAGAATTTCAAAACATTAAAAAAAAAAAATTGTGAAGGTAGATAACCCACATAATAATTTACTACCTGTTAAATTTACTGATACCATCTGTAGTTTCCAGGCAGTACGCGCAAGCAAATCACCAATATATGCTGAGTGGCTGACACTGTCTACACTGATGTCATGTGGGAAATCCATGCCCTATAAAAATGGTAAGAAAATTAAAATTTAGCATATGACTATTTTAAATTTTTTAATCCCCATGAGAAGGAATTAAAACAAAGTTAAATAAACAATTAAAATACATTAAAATGGATAACTACCAAAAAGAAATAATTTGAGGTTACAGATTTTCTTACAAATGTATTGTTCAAATTATTTAAGTTAGAAATAATGTAAAATATTCTGATAGTGATCTTACAAGACTAGTTAAAATGTTAATTAAAAATGTTTTAAGCAGTCAGCTTTCAAACTCAGAATTTAATTTATTAAATATAGTTTTCCATGTGCTGCATATTTACGTTTAGTTAAAAGAAAACAGAAATTACTAATATTCTCTATAGTATTTAACTGAATACTTTGAAGAATTTTTATTTATTTAGACATTTTAGTTCTAAAAATGTCTCTCATTCAAAGTTTATTGTCAAGTAAATAATATTTTTCAAAGACAGCATGAAACTGATGTCTATTTTTATGGCTACTGACATTTTAAAAAATGAACCTTAATATACAGGTTCACAAATCTCATGACGTTCCAATTCATCCTACTTGAAGGGTAATTATTTTGAGCAAGGGTTGGCAACCTTTTGGAAAGAGTGCGCCAGACAGCTATGCAATGTCTCAGAGGAGGGCCATGATATCAAATGTACAATAATAATCTTAACCTCAGACTGCTCCATCCAGAAGGCTGCTTTAGTCTGGAGGTTTAAAGGAAAAACAAAGTTAATGTTATATTATTTAAACAAGTTTCCTTATTTTACTGCAAGAATAACAGGATAACAACTAACACAACAAAAAATTCAAATTCCTTACTACAAAGAAAATCAGTTAGTAATGGCAAATTATTTAATGAGACATTTGTTTCTGCTTATTGTTCAATAACTTCTCTACATCAGATAAAATATTTGTTGATGACAAGAGCAAAACATCATCCAAATGGTCATCACCAAACCATGTTCTTAAACTACTTTTAGTAGATTTCATTTTTTTAAGAAAGTTGTTCACAAGCATATATACTTCCAAATAATGATACCATCATATTCACATTATTCAATATTCTTTTATATTTTCCATTTGACAAAACATTTCTTGTAGTGAATTTGAAATGAAATTTTGATTTAAAAAATTTATTGCATTGTAAGTCAATTAACTCCAACTGATATTTTTCTGCCACTTGCTCCATATCTGTTCTGTAAGGAGTATCAAATAATTTAAATAGATTTCTATATTGTCGGAAGTCAGTGAAACAGGATGAAAACTTGCTTCTCAAATCCTGAACAGAACTCACAAAGATGTCTGGTATTATATCTCTTTTGTAACTTTTGAGATTTGGTAAATGAGAGTAGTTTCCTTTTTGGAGTTATGATTCTCACAGTTCAAATTTTTCTTTCAAAAGCAATAATTTGACCAAAAATCTCAAATATAAGTTTATTCTTTCCTTGAAGCTCAAGATTCAAAGTGGTCATGATGTCCACTAAAAATGCCAAGTTGACAATCCACTCTGGATCCTGAAAGTAAGAATTATCTTGGTCTTTGCTCTTCAAAAATATTGTAATCTCTTCCAGTATTTTTTCACAGCTAATCCATTGAACATTTGAAAAATATGTAAATTCACCATACCCTGCTTCAATTTGTTTTAGAAATTCTTGGAACTGGTAATGATTTAGTCCTCTTGATAGTATAAAATTTACTGTTTTCACAACTGCTGTCATGATGTCCTTAAAATTGCCCATAATGCATCCTGATTGTTAATGTTAAAGTTTGATTAGTTTGTGATCAATACCAATGTATTTCTTGGAGCAATGCAACAGTAGTGAAAGAGATAATCATTTATCTTGAAAAAGAGTTCATGTTTTGTATGCGATCTGCTGAAGAAAAATTCAAGAAAGTAGTTTGCAAAAATCTGCTACTTTAAGTATCAGAATCTATGCTAATGTTCTTTTCTCCCCTGAATGGTATGGCCAATAAGAAAAATCTCTCAGTGAATAAAAGCTGTCGTTTTTTGCTTACGGCAGAAGGACTGTTTCTGAGCTTGGTGGGCAAACATGTGATTATGCTGGTGAGAAGTGAAGGTTGGATTTGTGACCCTATTTTGTCATTTCTATGTTGCATGTTGGACTGTTACTATGGACTATCGTTTGAACTGTGGTTTGGCTACAAGTGTTGTGGTCGAGAGACAGAAGAAACCTATTGCAGGCGTTTATTGCTACTACAAGTTTACAATTTTTTTTAATTTTCAACAGCAACAAACCCCTTTTTCATTCCAATCATCACTGGTGCTCCATCTGTTGTTACTTCAATAAGCTTTAATGAATCAAGATTCTTTTCAGTTATCCATTCTATCACACTTTCAAAAATATCTGCTTCAGTGCTAGTGTACTTCATAGGAATTAATTGTACCAATTCTTCCACAATATTAAATGTTAGTGTTAACCCCCTCACAAATACTGCAAGTTGACAATTATTCATATCTGTGGTTTTATCAATAGCAATGAAATAATACTCCAGATTTTTTAAAATGTCCTCCAAGCTACTTCTGACAATGGCTCTCAGTTCTTCAATTCGCCTTGTTACTGTTCTTGCCAATAAGCTGATTGCAGAAAATAATTCCCTTTTTCCTGGATAAACAACATCCACTACCTTCAACATGCATTCTTTGATGAACTCTCCATCACCATTTTCTTCAAACTTTCCAGTGAAATGCTAAATCCTTTCTCAGCCATGCAACTTGTCTTTTCATGTCTTTCCAGTGAAATTGTTATGATTATGATGAGTTTCATAGTGCCATTTAATATTTTAAACTTTCTTCACAGCAATAGTTTCCTGACAAATTAAGCAAACACATTTTCTCAATGAAAAAATAGCTAAGTGTCCAGCCTTTGTTAAAATTTTGTTACTCAAAATCCACTTTTCTTAGTTTCCATAGGTTTGTTTTTGTCCAGATGTAAAAAAAAAAAAAAAAAAAAAGAAAAGAAAAAAAAAGACTTCTGGAAAAGAAAGTAAAAAAGAGTACAGAAATCGAGTTGTGTTACGGTTTAGCTAGTGGGCTGGACAAAAATTCTACACGGGCCGGATATAGCCAACCCCTTATTTAGAGAATGTAATTATTTAAGTGAGCCAGATACATCAAAAGAATATTAGCTATGAATAGAAGAAAAAAATTAAAAAGTGCTCACTAACCGTAGGACAAAGCCAAGAAGAAATAAGATTTCCAGAGTGAATGTTAATAATGAAAACTTTACATGGCTTGCTTGTTTGGTTTTGAGGTCCATTGACAGCAAATAGTAATCCACCTGAAAAACACAGAAGACAAGGAAAATTGTATCTGCATATACAAAGAGAGAAATTTTATTACATAAGTTAGTCATCTTAGATATTTCAGACTTTTGTGTTTATAGTTATATATGGCTGAATTTTTTTTAGTAACATTAGGAAGAAAAACAAAAATAATTTGAATGCTTATCTATCCTTATTTGATGAAGAGTTCTGAAAATTAAAATTTTTGCACCGTTTTTGACTTTTTAAACATTTGGAATCAGAATCCATTTAATTGCTAATTGAGTTCAAATCTCCAATTTTAAGAGAGTTACCATTTATCAGGTTGGAATAAAAGTTCTGTCTCATTTTATTGTGTCTATTACATATGAAGATAATAATACTTATAAAAATATTTAATCTTCAATATAACCTCTATTGCTTCCTAGAACTTCATTCCATTGGTTAACAAATTTACAGATGTCACATTTGCAAAATTCTTTGGGTTTTGATGTAAAATACAAAACCAATTCATGTTCAACCTCTTCCCTTGATGTCAACCATAGGTCATCTAAATGGTTCTGAAAACACCTCAACAAGTGTTAATCAGAAGGAGTAAAGTCAGAAATATATGAAGCAATTTTTCCCCAACCAAGCTCCTCTAAGAGATCTTTTGTCAATTGTGCAAGGATGGATTACTCTGTTTCTGTTGACTAATGATGGACATTTTTTGTTCAGCTGCTTTCAAATGAAGTTGTTGGCAGTAGAGATCAGCATTGATTGTTCGATTATTGTCTAACAGTTGATAATTGATTATTCCTTGAATATCCCTCTGTACACTCAATTTGATCTTCAAGATTAAGTTATCTTCTTTGTTGCTGAGTAGATCTGTTTTCCTGACTGATCCACTTAACATTATGGTAAAGGATCCATTTCTCACCACCAGTAAGAAGCCTGTCCAAAAAGGGCACTTGATGTTGTTGTGTGTAAGCAATAACTTGAAACAATCAACATGTTGGTGATTCTCTGGATACAGGCTATGTGGGACCCATTTTCCAACTACTAAATCCTTTTCAATTCACTTTAGACTATTGAATGACTAACATTAAATTTCTCACAGAGTTCCCTAGCTATAGTGTCAAGATTTGTTGAACAGCAGCTTTCAAATCTTGAATTGAGTCCTTTTGGATGATCCTCACTTGGCTTGTTTTGATCATTCATGCCATAAGTATGCTGGATAGATTTTGCTGTTTCACTTGCATTGACACCTTTTATGAAACTCATAGAGTACAACATTTCTCTTTGGGATGTACATAGGGGCAAATCCCTAACAATATTATGAATAATGTTCTTATAATCTAAAAGAGAAAGATATAAATCCCTCATTGTAGCATTGTTAAACAACAAAGAGGCAATACGTTAATAAAATTTGTTCAGCATTTTCACTTAAAAAATCATACAGAACTTTTGTTCCAACCTGGTAATAGTGGCCTGAATGCAATTAAGATCTACATGCAGAAAACATGACTGCATTCTTAACTAAAACTGAATGAACAGAAATTCAGTAATAAGTAATTCAGACTTACCATGTTGAGGACAGTAATCAAGTGCATACAATTCATAACCAAACTCTTTAAGATGAATTTGCTGTCTGAAATTTCCATTTACATCAAAACATTGTATGCGTCCATTTTCTCTGTCACTGGCACAAACAAGTCCTTTATCCTCAGCAACTGTGACACTATGCACAACAAAAAATACACCAGGGCCAGGGAAACCATCAGCTGAGAAGGAATTTTTTAAAAAATGCTCATTTTTATCATAATACCTACATTAATTTTGTCATTTATGTTATCCAGATTGATATTAATTTTTCTTGACTATGATCAAATTTTAATTACAGTTAAAAATTTTAAGATAATTCAAAATTTATTATTTTTGCATTTAATTTCAATAGGAAGAGTCATTCTTAATAAGATTGGTGCCAATAAACAACTAATGTAAATATTGTTGCAAGAGGTGGACAATTAAAATTTGAAATTGTTATAAAAACAATAATATCCTGTTCATGACACATATTTCAAATCACAAAAGACTCTAGAGCTTATAATTATTCCTAAACTCTTTTGCAAATATAAAATCTTTAACAAAGAAGGAAATAGATTAAAAAATGAATTGATTCCATGTATCTGAAAATAAACCCTAATATATTGTATCTTTATAAGATTGTAAGATTAAATCATTTCTTGAATTTTCAATCCATAACTGTTTTTAAGGGTCAAATGTTAGTTGTTCAATGGTAATTTTTGATAACTTTAAACATGAAGTAAATTAGGGATACTGATTACATTTTTCAAAGATTTCAGAAATTTATTTAATATTTTATTGTAAAATTCTAAAGAGAAAAACTGCTTATCGTCTAGTATTGAGTTCAGGAATGCAATTCCTCATATTTCATATCATAATTTCTATAACAAATCATATATAGAAATATTAATGCATTCAACTGCATAAACATTTGTAATGGTATTCTATGGAGCCAACAATTTCATTGTTGGATCTGCATATTTCCTCAAATCAGAAAGAGTTTACTACTGTTGGTATCTACACATCTAGAATATAAACACAATGTGACTTTATATATTTCTAAGTTCCATAGCCTGATCTCTCCTTCTTAGTAATGGTATTCTGTTGTTATGGTAAGATGAGGCATTACTCAATACCAATAGGTGAACATGTTTCATGTTGTCATAACAGAATATCTCATAAGTAAATAGTGAGGACAAGTCTTTAATACATTGTTTTTTTATTTCTACTGTTGGCTTTCTTTGGATATTTCTTTCTTTTACTTTTAACAGTTTAAAAAAGCAGAATTCCTTCTTACATGTAATATAGTTAACTCCATAAATAGAAATGGTTAGATTATTCATACAGAAGAAGGAACCAGTGCAACTATAAAATTACTTAAACAAGATGGTATGGGTAAATTAGTTATAAAAATATCTCTTTAAAAATTTCAAAGAACAATATTTTAAATGGAAAGAGTTAGCAGTACTCTAAATAATTTATTGCCATTATAATTTTTATTTTATACCCATAAAACTGGTTTAATTTTTTAAAATTCTTAACACCAACTTGTTTTCCATTCATTTGTTTCTTTAAGATCTGCAGATCTGGTTTTTAAAATCACTGTAGAGGTGTTTGAACACCCAACAAAATATTTTTTTTATAATATTTAGTAAGTGGTAAGTAAAATTTTTATGGTTAGTCAAGTAGCTTTCTGAATATTTCAGTCACTAACAAGGGGTTTCTGGTTTTAGTCATATTTGTGTGAAATACAAGCAATTTTATTTGTTTACTCAAATTTGTTTACTGTTTTATTTGCATATTTGATATTTTGAAACTTACAAAAATAAATTAATATTGTCCTTTTAGTTCAATATTTCAAAATAAAACCTTTTCATTTGTATTTATCCTATAAAAACCAGAAAGAACACTCAAGATGATATATAAGAGAAACTAAATGATATATTTTAAGTAGGGTGTTTGAATACTCCATTGTACTAATGCTGTGATAATTCTCCAGAATACTAATGTAGAGTTAAGGATTACAAACCCACTAATATTGAATTGTAAAAAACACCCCCCCCATATGAGATTTGCTTGAATCCATATGGATGAAGACTCCTTAAAAAGAAATCAATAAATTTATGCCAATTTTCATAGCTCACTCTTGTCAAAATTATTTCTTCAAAGTCTACTTATTAGAGATTTCATAAAATTTTTAAGCAGGAGATTAACTGATTTTATCAAAAATAAGATTTCTCTCTGAATCCTGGATAACCTTCTTGAATGTAATTTTCAGTAAGAGGTTCTTACCCCCAACTGCTCCATTGCTGTAACCCCACTTCTTTAGGAATGTGCCATCTTTGGAAAATTTGAGTATACGAGTATTGCAATAACTAGAAGTATAAAAAAAATTTAAACTTAAAATGCAAGAGAAATTAATACTTACATTGGCAATAGTTACAAAAACAGTAAAGTATAAAGTTGAAGCAGAGGTACATAGTTTAACAATGTTCTGAAGGATTTGACTAATTAAAATAGACTAGAAAAACTTGTTACCTACCTAAAGAAAGTTAGCTCTTTACTATTATGAGTATAGTTGAGACATCATTTCATCATTTTTTTAAGTGTGTAACAATATACCATTTATAAAAATTTTCAAAATATTACATTTCTTCCCCAAAATATACTTTGTAACATTTTATATAAACAATAAAAAACAAATGTTGAATTAAAGATTTTCTCTTGTAATTACAAAAGGTGAAAGGTGAGCAATTGTACATCAAAGAAAAATTGATTCATTATCAGTAAATAGTAAATTATGAACCTGATGATTTTATTGCTTCCACTTAAAAGAAAAATTATTAGATTTTCATATTACAATTTGCAATGATTATGGAATTCAAAAAATGTACGGATCTGATTTCTATCAGGTATTTATTTCTATTAAAAGTACATAATTAATGGCAATTTCATTTGCCATTTATATATAAAAAAAACTATCAAGCATACACACACACAAAATAGCAAAGATAAGTGATAATAATGTCCTTCCAATTTGGCTAGTAAGAGTACACACAAAAAAAGACCAATTATTTTAGCAGCAGCTGCACTCACCCATCAGCAACAAAGAACTGACCATCACTCATAACTGCAACATCTGCAGGTTTGCAAAAATGCTGGTTGTCATTTCCAGGGCGAAATCTTTCACCCAATTCCAAATCAGGTTTAGTTTCTCCAGATGGAAAGCGAAATACCTAAAAATGTAATATTCATTGCTATTAATGAAAAAAAATTAAAACAAAAAAAAAAATGTATAACCACAAATATATATGTTAAATATATAATAACCACAAATATATGTTAAAAAATAAATGTATGCGTGTATGTGTATTTAAAATGTGAATTTTTAATAATAAGCAAATACTTAAAATGAAAAGGATTTTCTCCAAAATGTTACATTTAAACTAAAGTGCCCCTAAAATTTAACTTAGTTAATCCTTCATTTATTTAAAAAAACAAAAAAACAAAAAACAAAATCTAAATCTCTATTACATCTAGCTAATGAATTAATCAAATTTTCAAAGAGGTCATTTAATTTTAGTGATGACAACTTCATTCAATTTGTATGTAAATTTACAATTTTCTTAATTCTAACCATTTTTTTAAAATATGATATCAAGGAATCAGAGAAAAAAATGGCTAAATAATTTATATGAAATAAAATGAGACTAAACCTGATGCAGAGCAACATCTGTGATCCAGATAGAGCCATTATGATCAGCAGTGATTCCATGTGGCATAAAGAACCTACAAGAATTCAGGCAAAAAAAAATAATTTGACTATTAATTCCCATTTTCAATAAATATTCAGTGAACAGATTACATTTTTTCAAAGAGAAGACTGCACATTTTTAAAAAAATAAAAAATGTACTGAAAAACTCTGAGCCTTGACCATGTCTATGGTGGAAATCTATTCAACATGTGCTGCTCATTTTTTTCTTCTTCATGGTTCAACTATCCCATGGTCATATGTAGCATCACAATATGCAAGAACCTTCATTATTTACACTATTTACATGTGGACTATTTTCCTCATCTTTGTTGTTGTTGTTGTCACATTTCAGCTGGTGTGCCCTAAGGCCATCATCAGGTGTATGCTGATCCAGGTAAATTGAACAGTTTATTTAAATTACAGGGTTAGAATGTTCATAATTCTACTGCCCATGTTTAGGGATATCTCTTATTTTTAGTACTGTTCAGTTATTGTTGCAAAAAATCTTTAAACTTTTTCTTTCCTTGCAGACAATGTGTTCAAATAATTGATATGGCAGTACTATTCCACAATGAAATAAACAAATCGCAAGTCCAAACTTGAAGATCCAGGGGTAGAAAAAAATGTTGAAATCACAAATTGCAGGCCCAATGTCACAAATCCCAATACACATAAACTTGATTATTTTGTCCTCGGCATATCGTACAGAACACATGTGCCCCTTTTCTCAGTAAGTGACTTTCTCTTTGTGCCACACTCCTCCCTATCTCATGATCACACTGGTGACAACCAGAGGCAGGTCTCTTAAGCCTTGTGCTTCTTATCAAAGGAGCAACTACCTCCTCCACACCTGATAAATTGCCTCCCAAAAGACATCAGATGTATTTCCACTAGACTGTGTAGTTTTCTTCTGAGGACATACTTGAGGCATCTTTTATTTAGAGGACTCACTATCAACATCACTTGTTGATGTGTTTGTACTGACAAAGAGGCACAGATCTCTCATATGGTGTAGCATCCCATCAACACAAATTGTGTGTGGGCTTCTGAGGCGAATGAAGAAAACAGTAACCAGCGAGTAAATTCAAGCTCTCCCAGCTGGTATTTCAAACTTGAGTCGTTCCTTCTTGAGTTCTGTCTCCAAATCACACTAACTGCCCGTTCTAGCCATCAACCGTGAACGTCCTCGAAGAACTCAAGAAGGAACGACTCAAGTTTGAAATACCAGCTGGGAGAGCTTGAATTTACTGCTGGTTACTTTTTTTTTCATTTTCCTTTTGTTTATTTCGGGCGGGCCTCGTTGTTAGAAGATTGTGAGGGAATCAGATCCTGTCAGCTAGACAGGATCTGATTCCCCGACTCTGGCCACTGTTTCCTCCAGCATACGTCCAAGAGGGGCATCCTTTATCTCGTCGTCCCATCCTTTGGTTAGTGTACTTGCATAACGCTTTTAATAAATGCAGTTGCCACCTAAGCCAACCGCACACAGGGAAATGACCCACGAGTTTCCCGACAAAAAAAAATTTTTCAGCGGGTCACCTTTTGAGCAATTTCTGGAACCTGATCTCCCTGCTTCCATCGAAGGGGGATTGGTTGAACTTCTTCATCAGAGGAGCTCTCATTAGACACGTCCCGATCTATTGGCAAACTACCGCTATCGGAGTGATTGGTTGTTGAATCCAACTCTATGTATATTGGCTGTTCACTATCCTCTGTGTCTTCTTCGTCAGTTGTGGGATTTGAGCCCAAAAAAGGGCGCAGGTCTCTAACATGACAAGGCGTTCCATCGACCCATAATGCATTGCATCGTTATTGCATAAAAATGCAATGCCAGTCCCCCCTCATTCTTTTACATTATCTGGCCGAGGACGGATTACGGCAGAGCGGTAAGTGCTTTTTTCTCTCCCTCATTTCAACTGCAGTAGCTTTACATGCTAAGCAAATACGGGCTCTTTTTTGGCGGGGACAAGGCAAGTCGCGACCAGTTGTGCTCGTCCCAGGTTCTGTCTCATGTCCGCCACAGCTTCTAATCCCTGTGACACGTCCAACTTGATATTGAATTGTACATCAGTTGGGGGGGGTGTTACCCACACACAGTCCCCTAACCCATATATCAATCGTCCATGTTTTATCAATACCTCATGCCTGGACTCTATAAGAGTAAATCCCATTAGTATTCACAGTGGAAGGTGACAAATCATCTTTGGGTGTAGTGTAGTGCCAATATATGGCTTCTGTCACTGAGCACTTTCCTCATGACAATTCACTTTTTGCTTCAGTGGCAACTTTCAACTATCCTGTTACCAGAAGGGTCATGTGCACAATGGGAACAGATATGGATTTCCCATCCATCTAAAATCTCCTTGAATGGTTTACTACGGGAAATAGTGTTATTGGAGGCAGACAGAATATGTCATCGTACGGAAGCAGGGAGTCCATGTACAAATGCACACGCCATCACGTGGTTGGGTATTCCTCTGAACATTACCACCAACTTTCTCAAATCAGCCAGGCAAACATCCACAGTTTCACTTGAGCACAGTTTCTGATCTTCAAACTGCTTGTATGCAGAGAAACTGTCTGCAGCAAAAGCAGTGTATAGTGTGTCCTTAATTTGTGCTGCATCCACTCTCTCTTCCTTGAGCAGTAAAAAAATGTCAAAATCATAAATCCCAATACATGTAAACAGTCAGAAATCACAATGCAAGCTGACAGATGAAGCAGAAAAAATAAAAACAACTTTTCCTCTTTCAAAAATACCAACCACTTTTATTGATTGAACAATGTTTTCATTACTCAACTGGTGGGAGAGGACACAATATTAGCATATCTGCAATGCATTTATGACAACACCTGAGAATGACTTGTTTCCATTTTGGTTATTCTGTTCTTGGCACAACATACAGAACACTTATGCCCTTTTTCTCAGTAAGTGACTTTCTCTTTTGCCTCAGTTATTAGCCACCTTGTTTCCACTGAAACCAAGTACAAATTGCCCAACCCAGAAAGAATCTTTATACTTTTTAGGGTTCCCTAAGTTAGGAAATCTGAGAGCAGCTTTCGTGGATTTCAATTTTGTCAAGACTGTTTCATGCAACATTTTAACAGTTGGGTGCTTTCCTGTAATGCTTATAGCACATGTTTCCTAGCTTATACCTGGCCTTGTTTGTGAAGTAACTTACATCATTTGTCCACTTAATGTTTCAATTCATCATTTTTCTATCCTTAATCAATAATAAACTTTATCATTTTTATAATTTTATATTTTTTGTCTTTCTACCTTATTAGAATTTTGATGGGGAGGGGCACATACAAGAATATTTTTAAAAAATGTGTTAATAAATCATCAAGGGAAATATTTTTAAATTGTAGTATATAAATTGTTTGATTGGCATAGTCATTTATATTTTCATGCTGGTAGAAAACATGGTATGGTTTATGTAATGCTCTTACATAGCTTGATATATTCATATTAGAGATGAACTTATATCTTATTACCTGTTAGGCTGTGTTCTTTTGTGAGAGAACAACAGTAGATTTTAAAGAATCTTTTGCATTTATTTCTTATTTTTTGACTATATTTGGATTAGCACTCAAGTATTTGAAAAAAGCGTTGTTATTAAATTGGAGAGTAAACCCATGCAACATGATAAAATAAAATTCTTCCCTTAGCTCCAGTTGACCATATTTACTTGAGTGTTATTCAAATGTTTTTGTTAATCTTCTCAATGAAAGTTCTCAAGGTTCTTTATTCTTAAAGGTTAAGAAAGGTCCACTGTCAAACTACAAAAAAATGATGAATTGTCAAGTGAGCCTTATCTATTGAGACAATGGTGTTAACTTGAATGTACAACAACAGCAATTTATATTGCCTTTATAACTCAGGAGATATTAAACAGTTCTTCTGTTAGAATTGATTGTATTGCAGATTAGAACTTGGTAGATGCTCTCTACTCATCTATAAATGTTAAAAACAAAAGACTAAGGATTGCTGTTTCTGTTCTACAAGACATGCTAAATATTTATTTGGTGGATGCTTCACAGCAATTCACTCTGCTTTACTTAGAGAGCAGTATCCACAGAGCAGCTACAGGCTACTATTACTAGAGATTGATATAGAGTATAGTAAAATGCAAAAATTAAAAGTGAGCTACAAGTACTAATAAGTTGTTTGTTGTGTGCTAGAGTGATTTCACTATAAAACCACCAGGTGGCCATAAAGGAGGCAGCCATATTGGATAAGTTACTGATCTGAGAGATTACATTTAACACACAAAGGCTGATATGCTAAGCCAAGGCAACAATTGGTCTTAAAAAGTATGTCAGCTTTGTGAATCTTGGGAAAGCCATACATAAAAGTAAGTTTGTTATGATTTTGTATTATGCATCTATACACTTTAGAAGAAAGCTGATCTTTGTTCTTCCTTTGAAACAGAGAGTTTTCTTTTTGTAGACAAGTTTGGAATTTTCTTTATCTTCTTGAAGAAGAAAACTCAAAATCTATTATAGATGCAAGTTTTTATTAGTTTACTCTGCTACTATTTTATATATTAACCCTGCTGAAAAAATAGTTTCTCTCTTGTGGACATTATACTCTGGCAAGGTTGTAGAAGGGATCATCTGAAACATGTCAGCAAGTTCAAAAATACAAAGCAGAGATTAAATTGTACCCCAAAAGTTTAAATATTAATGATTCTTAAAGTTATAGACAATATAATGCAGTATATTAAATATCAAGTTATTTGGCAATTTTTAAAATTAATTAACTACACTCATTCTTAAAAATATCAGTTGGATAGAAAGTTAATGTGAATAAAGTATATTTTCACACACACACACACAGCTGGACACATTTAATACCAGTAGATAATTTTTTAAATGTTACTCCAAAGTTCAAACATTGATTTGACTCAAGTCTAGACAATTTGTTTATATTAAACTCACTGGAATGGACTTGGAAAATCTCAATATTCTACTCACATATTAGCACCCCATTGTTTCACAAATTTTCCTTTTCTATCAAATACAACAATGGTAGGAACAGTGATTGGTTTATCTTGATCCTGAAAAATATTGCTGCGATTAAATGACCTGCAAAATAGAGGAATTACAATTAGATTACAACAATGTTCTTCTGCTAAAAACATACTCTAAACTTTATTAAATTGCAATAAGTGGTTTAAAAGAGATACCAGAATTTGATGAATATCAACATATTTTGAAAAATGAGAGAATGATAAAATGTAAGAAATATTTCTTTTTTTTTTATGATAAAACTAAATGACAAAGGGAATAATATATAGCTTACTGAATGTTCCAGATTCTTGGGCCCCTGTGGAATATATGCACATTGCCTGAGGGGTCAACAGTTATACCACTGACAAAGCCTAAGGTTACTGCTTTTTTATCAGGCCAACTTGGATCATAAATCATTTCTAAAAATACAAAAATAAATATTGTTACAATATAAAATGTACAACTCTAAAAATAGACAGAAGACAGGTTTAAAATCAACCAGAAAAAATATATTCACTGAAGTCACTATCAGCAGTGACATACTTTATAAACAAATTGCATATGCCATGAATGAAGCTCAAGTCTTTAATAAGGAAGAATGAATTTTACCTTTCCCTTCGATATGGTCAAATGAAGATGAATAGCATCAATTTGATCGATTTTATTTGAAAATGAAGGAGATCAATGCAAAATTATAAGCATTGAATCTCATCTTATCAAAAAAGCAAAGAGAATGATTATCCACTAAATCATTCCAATTGCAAAGTTCTTTGAGTAGCTTTTAATCAACTCTGATAATTAAAGTTTATTGTGATAACCAAAAGAGAATCCTTCTTATACTGATCTGAAAATAACCCATTTTAAAATTCTGCATATAAAAAATGTGCAAAATGATTCATAGTTAAGGTGCATAAACAAATTTCATAAAAAAAATTAAACAAGTTAAAGCATTTAATTTATAGTACGACAGAGAATCCCTGTCAGATATTTGTTTATACAAGAGTTTGCTGAAAGGTTATAAAGAAATTTATAAAGTACAAGAAGCCATGACTGGATAAAAAAAAAAATAGTGATAACTGGTCAGGCTTTGGAAAGTCTGTTGGGCTAAGAACTTTTCAACATTTTTTTTTGTTCCTTTACTTCATATAAAGGAGGAAAAATGATATAAAAAGAGTATTTACTCTTACTTTATTTTTTAATAATGCATCATCTTTAAAGTTTTTAGTTTTAGGATATGCTAAATTAACTAAATGTTAATTTTTCCAATTTTCCAATTTCCTAACCATTGGTTGATAAAATGTAAATTTTATCAAATAAAAAGTGCTCATAATAATCTAGCACACAAAATAATTTTATGGCCACATAACATTAACCTTGAGCTGAATTAAAAAAAAAAATTAAAACATTCTGATAAAATAATAAAAGTTAATCATGCTAAAAATAGTTAATGAGCACTCATTTATATTGTTACATATTTGAATTTTTCATTTTTTTTCTTGAGTTATTTATTACAAAAGTCATAATTTCTATTTTTCTTTACTGTAAATTTCATCATCAGGGAAAATACATCTAAAAACAAATTTTCTAGAAGTCTAACAAATCTAAAATATTCTTAATGCTGAGTAATTTGTATGATTTCTACCTTGGATATCCAAGGTAGCAATTGGTAAATAGCCTACCTTGCTTCACATTGGGATTTGATGATCCAGTGTGAGGATGGTGAATAGTCATTGATGCTTTTGCTTCAAGCAAAGGATTTGGTGGCAAAGGCTTAGCTGAATCTGCAGGAATATGTTGCGAAACCCTTGATACCTGATTATCTATGCACTCCATGTAGCTGGAGATATTTTTACTATTGTCGGAATAGTACATCATGTAAAAGTTACACATTTCATCTGTATGTTTTGGGCTGGCAGAAAAATAAAAGGAAGAAAAGTAAAAGAGGACAAAAACCTCAATTAACTGAATAAGAAGTTGCATTTTTGTCATATTGATCTTCATATACAGGGTGTGATGTATAAATTGTCATCTAAATTGCACAAAAATGAAAACAACACTGGCATCTCATTTTAACAGATATATTTACCAAACTTACACAAAAATACCTTGAAATACTAAAGATTAACTATTTACATTTTTCAGACTATTGTCCTCAACTTTGTCACCATATTTATTAAATGTTTTGGCCAACGTATGCTCCAGCCTTCTTCAGGTGGTTGGAATGTCGAACTGAATGTTGTAATAAATATGGCGACAAAGATGAGGACAAAAAGTCTGAATAATGTAAATAGTGTACATAATACTGCATCTCAGAAATATAGACAGATACTAAAGATTAAATTCATTAAATAAAATTGCCATTGGCTTCAACTATGGCTTCCAGATGACTTCATAATCTCCTGCAACTCTTTTGAGTGGTCTACTTGTTTAAGTTGGTGAATGCTGCCATAATCCTTGCTTTTAGTTCATCTTTGGTGTTACAAGGAATTTTGTTGATCTCTCACTAAACTGTGCCTCACACATAATAATCACAGGGGTTACAGTCTGGGGAGTTAGGTAGCTAAATGTAAGAGGTGATGTGGTCACAGAAATTGTTGGACAGTCATGATTGGGTTCTCCTTGTGTTGCATGGTGCAAAGTCCTGTTTCCAGACAGAGTTTTCCAGCAACCACTCTCTTTACCCAGGACAACACTATCTCCTCAAGGTACTTGATGTAGGCTTTTGTGTTGAGTCTAAGGCTCTGTGGGAAGATGAATGGAGGCATAACGTCACCATTACTAGTGATCACGCCAATTACCTTCGTAATCACTTATCCAACTCTTTCCGAATCATCTGCACTGTCCTCAGATTGACACTCAAACACTCTGAAATGTTTGTATTGGAGCTTCTGGCACAAATGCAAAGCAGTACAGCATGTCATTTCCAAATTTTTGGCAGAGTGAATTGTGTTATGGTGCTCTTTTTCTCACAAACAGTGCCCAATTATTATACTTTTCAGTTGACAAAAGGTAAAACAAGGCATGAAATTAAAAATATAAAATGGCTTCAATTTATCCATCACACCCTGTAGATCATATGTAAAGCATGACTGGACACTTTCAGGAAACCAACAAATCAGAAAGAAAGAAATGTTAACATGGATAACTTTCTAAATATAATAACCGGCATGTATTAGGTTGGAAAAATAAATGGTTGTTTTTTGCCTTTTTTTTCAGCATTCCTTATTTCTTTTTTAGGAGTTATTTCAATTTTTGATAATGTTTACTTTTTTTTTATAGGGTAATGAAGCAAAAATTAAATGTTATTGTCATGTCATTATACACCATGAGTTCAAACTCAGCTATTAAAGCTACCTACCACATCAACTGTTTTTTGGGAGGGGGCTGGTCAACATCAGAATGGACTGTATGTTGTTGGTTCCAAAAATTTCTTCTGGTGATCTGTATCATCATATAAGCCTGGTCATGGTTGCAATTCTTCCCTCAACAATGAGTTAAGAAAATCCAAATATAATTACCCCATGATTTGCATGTTTTGACAATTGTTGCAATCTGTTTATTTATTTTTAAAAATGATCTTTTTCTTGATTGTTGAAGAGAAGTGGTTTCTGTATAACAATCAAAAAAGTGACATTCTTTGAGTTCACAAACCTGCTTGACCTTAAAGCAAATTTTTAACTCAAAATAGTCTTCCTGATCATTTAGTGGTACTGTAATGAAGTAATCCATTACAGCCTCTTGCAATCTGGTCAGACTACCATGGCAACATCCTATTGTCATGATTTAGAATTGATATATCAAAAGTTGCAAACATTTTAGCCAGCAGAGAATAGAAATGAGCCTATCCTGCTGCAGGATAATGCATGACTTTATAATTCACAAATCACCCACAAAAACTGATGCAGTTTAGCATCAAGGACCTATCTCACTGCCATTCACCAGATATGCCTCCTATAAAATTACCACTTTTTCTTGGACTTCGATGATTTACATGACAGTAGGTGTACAGAAATGCAGACAAGATCAAAATTGCCTTCTGGCAGCTTGTTGATTCATGATCCCAGTTTTTAACATGGTAGAATGAATCTGTTGTCAAATCATTGACAACACGACAAATTCTAATGGTTCTTACTAATTAAGTTTTATTTGAACTGAGTTATGATTTTAAAGTTTCTGGTTCCATATCATAACCTTTTTGAACACTTCTTTTCAGCTTTTCTTTTGCTATCAGAGAACTCGCAAAATCAACATTCCATCATAAACATTCTCCCCCCATGTGATGTGTGTGTGTGTGTATATATATATATATATATATATATATATATGAGAGAGGTAATTTTCTTTCAAGATTTTAGTTTAGTTTTGGAAACATTTGCAAGGATTTTGAAATATTCAAGGTTTTGAATTACTGTAACATTTCAATATGTGTAAAGGATATTGACAATCAAACATTTTGCTCGAGAGTAGTGTAAAAAGAGTTCAATTAAATAACTACAAACAAGGGTATATTAACATTCGCTATAGTACATACAATTTTTTAACTTTCCAAGAAGGCATACAAATATTTTACTTACCCCATAACTGTTTTTCTATTATGTCCCACAGAGTTATAAGTACAACGGCCAACCTGAAAAGAAAAAATAAACATTAAAAAAACCAAGCTTTAAAAAAAAGAAAGAAATTAAATCTATTATGATGCAACAGTAAACTAAGTCATAAAATATCTTTTAATCAGAATATTTTTTATTTTAAAAAATAAAATCAACATTTAATGTATAAAGATTATTTTTCCCCTTTTTTATTTTAAAAAATAAAATAAAAATCAAAAACTATAAAGTTTTTGATTAAATATAATTTAAAAATAAAAAAAACAACATATTTGCAGAAATTATACTTTTCAAAGCTCAAGCACAGTAAAAATATGCAGTATTCTTAGAAAATTTGCTAAATTCATTTTAATGAGATTTAAAGATATTTTTAAAAGAAAGCAAATTAAAAAAAAAACAATGTCAATATTAAATTCACTTTATTAATTATAATTACTGACTTGAATCTGGCTGTAGATAACTTGACTCCAAAAATGAAATAAAAAGTAATATAAAAAATTTACCAAAACATCATTTTTCTTGATTTCTACAATTTTCTCAACAGGATAAAAAGCCTGTAAGATAAAAATTCAAGATGATGAAACAGCTTCATTGATATGTTCTGTTAATTGTAATTTTCTATAGTTCAGTTGTTTATAAAACTGCAAATAGATGCAAAAAGAAAGTCAGTTATAACTGTCAAGTGAACAATAATATATAAAAAAAAAAATTTCAAAAGAATTTTTTTTTTTTTTTTATATTATTAATCATTTTGAAATTTTTCTTATATGAATTTTATAAATTATATTAATTCAAGCCTTAGTATATTTTTAACTATTTATTTATCTATTCAACTGATCACTTAAAAACTAGCTGTTCATAATATAATTTGAAATTTCAAATACAAACAAAAATAAAATTCAAATGCATATTCAATAAGAGTTTGGTGACATTATTATTTTTTTATATTTGATTTTTGATATTTTTGTAACTAAATTGATAAACCAACTATTCTCTTCCAATTTAAATAGTGAAAGGGAATTTTAGAAGCATCTTTATTCATTTGATATATTTTCAGTATTTAAATGAAGATAGTATGGTACCATGTAAACAATTGAAATAATATATTAATGTTTACTTACTTGTTTAACTCTTTAAGTTGTAATCAGACCCTCCCTCCCTCAAGAGGTATACATAACCCTTAATTTTTGGCCACCATCACTTCTGGTTTCTTTCTAGTACTGTGTGTGAATAAAGGCTATACAAAGTCTAAAACAATGACAACACAAAGGTTCTGCACACAACCTTCAGAAACTGAGACACCCAGCACAATAGTCATCCCCATCCACATGACACCTGTAGAGTGAAGCCATGTGCACTATGCAGACAAGCAGGCAGACACAACTACGACCACAACCCAAATACAAGCAAATTTCTACCCAGAGAAGACCGCGAGTTCATGAGCCGTGCTAGACAGTTTTTGTGACAGATGAAAGGCCTGAGTACCCAGAGAGGGAGCCATATGACTGATTGTCAACCTCAAAAGTACTGTTTTCGCACCATTGCATTCCCCCCAGATGAAGGCATACTACAACCACCATGTTCTTCATATGACTCTTAGATAGTGGAGCTGAAATCAGCATAAGAACTTCTGTTGCTAATCTTCTCAGTGTCAAAATCCTGACCACCAACCAAAAGGTACTACAAGCAGACAACAAATCTAGACAACATCATCTTCTACACATACAAGCCTTGGACTTTAAGGACCTTGACATGGAATTTCTTGTTGGCATATTATTTATGTCAATGAATGATGTAAGCATTTGCCCTTCACAACATAAAATCATGATTGGTGAGTTACTTAATATATTACGACACCCCATGAAGCCACATCCAACAACAAAGTTGCATCCAACATAATCAAGCACTCATTTCGAGGGCCTTATCCTTCACTGTATGGCCTGGATCCTACACTGATGTATCACTACTTGAGGGTCTACCCCAGATGACATACTAGCTGTCAAAACATGCTTCGAACACACTGACACCTATGACATGTGGCCCAAATCTTTGTTGAAACAGTAGCTGGGAAAATCTGTCTTGTCAACAACATCTATGATCCCAAGCAATTGAAGAGAAACAACCATTTCTGCCAAGTCCTATCAACCACCATACCCACAAGAGAAACCCATGACAGAGAACTCACTACCTTGAAAAACTAAACACAATTACGTAATGAAGGCTATTTCTCTGACCCAGTGATGGTGGACCAATTCAAACATTACTCACTATTACTCATAATTAATGACAAACTATTAATACTCCAACAAAAATGTGACAAATTAGAGTCCTTCGGAGACCTGTGATAACCAAGACTTCAAAATCACTGTCAAGTACCTAAGCCTTTCTTCCTTGTCACTAAACCTAATGGAGGCCACCAACAATCACCACATTTGAAAATGTTGGCTGATACTCGAAACCCCAACTGTCTCTGATGCCAGATGTTAACTCCACAAGATGGGCCAATAGAGATACATCATTAAAACAGACCTTATCAGTGCCTTTTATCAGATCCCTCTCTCAATGCAATCCATTAAATACTGCAGCACTCTCACACCCTACAAGAATGTACAGATTTACACATGTGCTATGGGCATGCCTGAATCAGCACTCAAAGAACTCATGCACACTTTACTAGCTGACAACCTCCAAACTGGCATTATTGCCAAGTTAGCAGACAATTTGTATTACAGTGTGAACAGCCCAGATAAAATCCTGGAAAATTGGTCCAGCATAATGTAGTCCCTCAATGTCTGTGCACTCTTGTCATGATCCAAAACAGTTCTCTGTCTATGATCCACTACCATCATAGGCTGGACCTGGACACAGAGAATTAAAGGCTCATCAGTCCAGTTAACTTTGTCTTTGAGTTGTAGACTAATAATGAAGGCGCATAGTCCATGGGCACTTTCAGGTGGTTTGCAGGTTAATAATACGGTTGATAGTATTATCAACCTGCAAACTGAGTTGCCACCTGAATTAACTTTGCTGCTGAAGTCATTAAACAGAACTGTCAGCTCATTCTACTACGATGGGAATTGATCACTACATACACAGCTGCAAGCATTATAGAAGATGAAATCTACAACACCTTGCGTGATTCCTCCTTAGAGATCTGCATGGAACTGCACTCGTTGTGTGGTCCACATGCCACTTTGTACGTAGACCCTGTGTAATGACCAAACCCTCAAATAAACATAGAAATTTGTTGAGTCAAAAACCCCCAATAAAAATCCCATTGTGGAAAAAGCTGTCATGGAACTTGTGGAAGAACTGCTGTGTCAGAAACCTGGAGGTGGCCTTGTCACAATATGCAGTCTGACCATTGCTGTCACATGTCCCAACTCATGCATTCAAGGTTCAGGCCTATCTTCCTGCAAAATGCATACACAACATGATCAGTATACCCATGAACAGCTGAGCATTCTAGACAAAGATATCAACTCACAAAAATATGACCACCAAAACTCAAACCGCATTGATAATTCTTTGTCCAAATCACACATGAAGGGACCACATTCTACCCCAACATTGTCTGTTGAGGAACTGGTATACCTGTATACTGACAGAGACAAAACAAAGGCATGTCCCCAGTATATTTTGGTATCTATAGCCAACAACTGGTGTTACATCAAAAAATTTGTCAGGAAACAACTCAAGTCAGGATTGTATAAAGTTAAGCTTAGCAAGTGTTACCACACCCAACCAAGGTAACAATGACAGAAATCCAACACTACAGTGAGATAGAAGAAACTGAAGCAAACACCCATCGTGAACTACCTGTGCCTAACTACACCACATCACATGAAGTTGTGAATGATAACACATTTATGGTCTACCACTGCACCTGAAATACTTGCATCTCCACCTCAAGAGTATGGTGATGATCCTAACACAATCGAAACTGAGGCAACACATGAAGATAGAAAGAGAGACCATTTCTCACCCACTTGAAATACTGTAGTATACAACTAGGACTAATCCCCATATTACATCTTTCTCCTGCATCTCACATCTAAAGTAAAAAAAAATTAAAAGCTGCTAATCCAGTAATTACTTGTTTAACTCCTTAAGTTATAACCAGACCCTGCCTTGAGAGATATACCTAACCCTTAACTTTTAGCTACCACCACTTCTGGTTTCTTCCTTGTACACTGTGTGAATAAAGGCTTCATTCCTGCTACTGTAACATATCTCATGTTCTTTTCTTCATTGGCAATCATATTTTAATTTAAATACATTAGAATAGTATTATATCATTGATATATAATGATGATGACAATGATGTCTCAAACTATGACCTGCTTTTTTTAAAAATTAAAATGTTTTAAATGCTCCTCCTTTTCTTTGTTTTCCTCCTCCTCTTCATAATATTTCAGCTGGATCATTTTTTGACCTCATTTTACCAGGCCAAAAAATGATTGAGTGTGTTGCATATTATAAGATGTCAATGGTATACTCCATAAAAATCATTTGGTACTTAGTCATAATTTGTAAAGCTTGCTGCATTATTCTTAATATTTCAAATGATGTATTATAATAATTATTTTAAATAATATTCTAACAGATTTTTTCCTCCTAATTCTAATGCTCAACAAAACTTTGGAGTACTCAATATTATTTACCTGTGGCCACTGCGGATTTCCTTTGCCAATCAGTGTCCAAGTACCATTGAATTTATAACCTGATATCACAACTCCTAATGAATGAAAAAAAGAGGTTTGTTTCTAAATTAAAAGGTTGTAAAAATATCATACTAAGTGAAAAAGAAATATCTGAAAAAAACTGAACAGAAAGTCTAAAGAAAACTTTTTGTGGGATTTAACAAATAGTCAAGTGAGAATTTTCATAATTGGTTTTAATGTGAAGAAATGAATAATGCAATACTTTTTCATGCTTCATTTAGGATTTTAATAAAAATAAAGACCTAGAGTTCCAAGGAAACTCAGAGCTTTTTCAAATACACGGGATTTTATTACTAAACAAAAAATTCCAAATTACATTCCAATTTTGCCTGTAATCAGTCAACATTTGTTTTTAATTGCCTACTAAGTTGATCTTACTCCTTATATTAACAGCAATTTCATTTGTATTGGAAATTTAGCATTTACTACAACTATTTCTTTTCATTAAATGGTAGTTATGCCTTTTGAGATATTAACGGTAATATTAACCATTTTCCTATAAGAAAACATTCAGCATTCATTGACTGAGCAGCAAGTGTTACCGTTGGTTAAAATTTATCAAATCTCTCTTAAAACAGTTTTTCAGGAAAATAGTTTTCTCAAGTCCAACAGGTGGTTACCACCTCTTTCAAGCATTGATAGGTGTTTCCTTCCAAACATTTCGTTTCAAATAGTTAACATCTAGACTATATCATTTTCTCTTTGAATTACATGTGTTATCCATTTTAGTTCTCAAGCAATGTGGTTTCTGTTATTTGGTAGAGTTCTTTTTGATTTTGTAGCCCATGAGCTTCAAAGAAGAGTGGTCTTCACTAAGACCTACATGGTTTATTAGCTCAAAGACACGTTTAATCATTGATCTGAGAAAGCAACTGTATACAGCTGATAGTTTAGATATTTCTGAATGGGTTTGGCACCATTCATGGCATCCATATGAAAGTCTTGATGTAACAAGGTTATTTAAGAACCTAATTAAAGTTTTTTGGTTAATGTTTTGGTTTTGAAGTAATTTATGGTGTTGGATGAGATTATGATGTTCAATTTCCTTATCTCCTATATTAAATTTGGTATAACTGATCTATACACCATCTGAAGTATTTAGTGTTCTATATCTTGAATTTTTATGATGGATTTAGTGTATGTGTCATCACTGCTTTCGTTTTTCATTCTAATTCCAGATTATAGTTTCTATTTTGGAAGGGTTTATGCCGAGTCCTATTTGTTGGAACATTTGATACAGGACATTAATTTTTGTTCAAGATCATTCTTATCCCTATGTCATTGGCATGCCCCCCCCACCACACACACACACACACACCTCATTAGTACACTGGCCTCGGCTGAGAAAGCAGAAATGTTGGTTCCGATTTGTAGATTCATTTGGGATGTGGTGATCAATCTGTCCTTGTATATATGCAGAGCATAGTCAAGGAAGAGATTTATTATTTAATTTCTCTATTGACTTTTGGTCAAAATTTAGAGACATGATTTGGGATTAGATAGAATCTCATTCTTACACTTTCATTTTTAAAGGTTCTGGTGTTATATACCTAGGTGTCTTTTGTGGTTTATGTCAGTGAAAGTAAGCTTTTTTTGGGGCTGGTATATTTTTTTGTATGGTATTTGTTAGAAGAACTCTGTGATCAGATTCAAAGTAGGATTTATATACTCTAACATCTGTCACAAACTGCTTAAGCCAAGAATCTGAGATGCTGAAGTCACTAATGTTTTGGGTTATGTTATCTGGGCTGTGCCATGTGATCCAATGTTTCATTTCTGTTTCAAAGAGTGACACCTTCTTCCCATCAAAGGAACTGTGACATTAAAGTCACACCTAAAACACTTCAAATATGCAAAAATAGCAAAATACTTAAAATTTAAACATTATTCTTATTACTTGACTAATATGCACAATTAAAAAAAATGGAGCATCTAAAAATACATTTACATTTAGAATATTATTTACTCAAAATAGTTATCATTAACTAATTCAAGGTAAATAAGGCTACTAAAACGTAAATAGAAAATATAATGACAGTATTAAAACACACACACAAACACAATAAGACGATTGTTAGTGAAATTTTAAAATACTGACCTAAACCATGAGCATGTGTTCGGTAAGCAAATGGATATATGCTTCCTGAAATGTTAACCTTACAGCTCATATTTATGTTATAAGCTGAAATAAGCAAGTAGAAAATATATAATCAATTTTAGACTTATTTTTGAAAATACAGTGCCATTTCAATTAACTTACTTAATATTTCCATTTTAAAATAAAAATTATTAATTAAAAAATAATGAAATGAAATTATCAATAGAAAATGAAAGCATTAATTAAACTATGAAATTATAGTCTTTAGGACACATTATATTGAATTATGGAATGGTTGTTTGCAAACTGCTGAAAAAAATGAAAATATCTTAAATGAAATGATGTTAGAAATAAATTTTTTTTCTTTTAAAAAATTGTTTCAAGACACAAAATTAGATCATATATTTTAAATCTTTCAATGAGAAAAAACAATCTTTACCTGGTTTATTAGCAGGGATAACACCTGAATATGAATCAAGAAGGAATATTCCAGCCGAATATTTTTGTCTAAACAAAAAAAAAAAAAATTAAATAATTTTGAAATTAATTGAAAGGATATATCAACATAAAAGTCAAGTATCATGAAATAAAACTGAAAAATTTATTCATACCATTAGCCTTTCTTTTTAGTTCAGCTGAATTTCTCCATAAATTTTTGATTCAACTCAACAATCAATTCTGTTAGGCTGTTAAAATGCAGGTGTTCTGTTTAACATGCTATGCATAAACTAGTTTGATACAAAATTTGCAGAAATAACTGGATAATCTTCAAATTTAGAGTGGACAGTGGAAGAAAACTGTACTATTATTTATTTATGTCTTCTCTTTTTTATTTGGTTCTTTATAATAAGATAAATGCATAAAATGCTATAAAATAGAACACTTTTATAATTTTACATTTTATTTTGCTAGAATGTCTTCAAAGATCTGAGGTTCAAATGTTGTTTTTGATTATATTTTCTTAAAAAAAAATCTTTAGAAACTTATACTAGGCATTAAGTTTGGTTAAAATCATTAAAGATATATATTGGAAAAGTGCATAACATACATATACATATTCTTGGGAAAATGATGTGGTTTTAGATATATATACATATAAACCAGCATGGGAGGGGGATGTAATAAGATAAAACAGTTTTTATATTTCCTTACTTTTCTTTGGTGACATAAAGTGTCAGGCCAGAATGATCTAGAGGTTGGTTGGCTACAAAACAGAAATAGTAAAATAAGTTTTCTTGAAAAACAATAACATTTAACATATTCACAATCATTTTACCAATGGATTATTGACAAATTAGCAACTTTATTTAAATGTTCATTGTAAAATGTGTCTTAAAATGTCAGAAAACCTGTTTGTTTTATAAAACTATTCTAAAGTGAAATGTGTACAGTTATTATAATTAGCAATTGTTAAAACAAAAAAAAAGTAAGATCAAAATCAGAGTATAGCCTTCTTTTAGTTGAACAACAAACAAATATTATGTACTATTGATAGCATTCTTCTGTACTATCAAATTCAGAGATAAGGATCTCAAATTCTAGTACTGGATTTTTTAGATACCTATTTTTCATATACCCTTTTACTAAGTAACTACTAGTGAACAAAGCTGTAAAAAAAGATAAAATTCTATGGATACAAAAAAAGTGTATTTTTTCTTAAAATTTTTCTTAGAAAGTTTTTCATGAATAGGTTGGATAAATTGCAAATCTATGTGCAAGTTTTTCTCATTAATTCTACGATAGAAGTGAAGGACAAATTTCATGACCATAAATGCAGGATGGTATTTATCACAATTTTTTTTTTTAAGACATAGTGAAAAATAAACACTTCAATAATCTTTTAAAAAAAAAATATGTTTCAAGTCATTTTAATTTTTTAATTTTTTACTTGAAACAAATAAAATCCATCCTGTAGTAATAAAGGATTAGCAAATGAAATTGTTGAGCCTAATTTTAAATTACAAATACATCATGATTTTAAAAATTTTTTGTTTTATAACTTTAGGGAATTAACATAAAAATTTATTGACACATTTTTAATAAATTTAAAAAAACATTAAAAAGTTCTATTCACATTTTTAAAGAAATTTGTTGCTAAAACAAGTACAAAAGTAATTTCATTCAAGTTTGATTTCTTTTAAAAAACTTGAATACAGTTAAATAAATAATTGCCAACAGTTTATACGAAAATTGATCTGAAATCAAGTTTATAAAACTGTTTCACGAAAAGTTCTGTGAATAAAAAAACAAATGGTTTTTTTTTGTTTATATCAATTTATATTCAAAAATTTCTTTCCACATTATATTAAAACCACACAATTTTAATAAAATGGATGCAAAAATTTTGTACAAAAAAAATAAAAAAAAATCTAATTTTTATTTTAATTTTTCAAATATTTTTTACTAATAGAAAAAAACTTATTCTTTGTTTCAATGAATTTTTTTTTTTCTTTTCTAAAAAAAATTTCATTCTTTTTAACGTTTTCTGTATTACTATTCAAATTTTATTTGGAATGTACAAATCTTGAAAAACAATGGAATCCCTTTTTATTTCCCATTATTTTTTTTGCCTCTTTAATCTAACAAAAAACAATTTTTTTTTTTAAAATTTTGTGAAGTTGTGACTAGCAATATTCAATTAGTTTTAAGTTCTTTCATTACTTTTACAAAATGGGTAAGTTTTAAAAATTTGTGATGAAAAAGAATTAAAATGCTAAGAAAAGTAGAATTAATTTTTATAAGTCCATACAACATTTCTACATAAAATTTTAAAATAAAATAAGCAATACTACAATTTTATATTAAATATGCAAGTCAATGTTTTCACTTTAAAACTTTCAGTGTAATAAATCTTAACACAAACATGGTATAATTTCATGTTACTTTCTTTATTCATCTTTATTAATTTTTTTATGGCTTTATTATTCAAAATTTTTTTTTATTTTTATATTTCAATTTGTTAAACAAAATACAATATAATTTTAATTAATAAAATTTAAAACCATCTATTTTAAAAAAACAATTAAATAAATTTATATTAATTATTAAAAAAAGTCTCTTTCAATAAAAAAAAAATTTCATCCATTTTATTTTTGTTTATTTTTTATCAATCTCCTTTAATTTTGAAAAAAGACATATATGTCAAGTGTTTCAAATAATAAAATTTATATCATGCATTTTCTTCAATTTTTATTACCAAATAGATTTAAATTTTGTTTTTTAGTTATGATTCAACAAGTTTCATTTATAATTAGATTTGGTCACCATAATATATATCATCTTATATTTTTTAAATGAATTTCTTGAGTTCCAAATTAAAAATTAATTTGTTTTCAAATTAATCCAATTCAGTTAATTTAGTGATTTATTCAAAGTTTAAACTTTTATTATTTTAAACAATTTTCCAACAGGGCGAATGGAATTTGTAAACAAATATTGCTTTTAAATTTTAAAATTTTAATTTATAACATTGGTGTTTTTCATTCCACTGATTTTGGTTTTTTCTATTTGTTTATGGTTTAATTACATTTTTTTAATTTGATATAACCTATACAAATTTAAAAATTTATTTTTTTTTTTCATCTTTTTTTTTCTTCATTTTAGCTAATTTTATCAGAATAATTTAATGAAGTTTATTTTTATTCAAATACATCATCAAATTTTATTTTTTGGGTAATTTTTCAATTTCATTGCAAAACAAAAATAACCCCATTAATGAGTTCAAAGGTTAATTTTTGATTTATTATAATATATTTTGAATTAAAATAAAGAGGCAATTTTGTTACAATTTCACTCATACAGATAGAATAAATACCATGGGACTTTTATATTTTTTTTCCTGGATTTATCTTCAACAAAAAATTATCTAAAAAAAAACATAAACAAATCATAACAAATATTTGAAGTAATAAATTTAGAAAAAATTTCGAGAAGACTTATATTTCAAAATGGTTTAAATTTATCTATGTAAATTTTTAAAAAAAATAAAAAAAAAAAATTTAATTTATTTTTAAATTTAAACCGTTTTTTTCTTTGTTCAATAGAAAATGAAATATTTATCACATTAAAAAATGAAATAAATTTAGTTTTTTTTATTTTTGTTAATCATTTTTTTTTTCAAAATTATCATATTTTCCAAAAATAAAATTAAATTCTCTTTTAAATGAATTTTTTTAATATGTTTATGTTAAAAAATGAACAATGAGGAATTATCCTTTCAAACTTATGGAATTATATTTATATATATCCCCCTATATAATGGAGTTTAATAATGAATTACAAAATTAAAAAAACTTTTTAGTAAGGGTAGTATTCTAATGAAAGAAAAATTTTATAAGAATGTTTTTATTCTTGGAATCAATTCTATTTTTAAAAAGGATAGAACTATCAAATCATGTGGTGAATTAAAATTTAATACAAATCATTTTTGAAAAAAAAAAAAAGATTTTACATTTGTACATTTAATTGTTTCATAAAATGGAAGAAAATGGCTGGGAAATTTCATGTTTTTGTGATGGCATCTTTATAAACCATTTGCAGGTGTTTTATTTTTATAGGAAAAAATCAATCATTAACCAATAGACAATTATAATAAAAACAGAATGTTGTTGAATATAAAATTTTTTGTAACTATTTTCATAATGTTGACTACCAAAAATTTGTTTTCCATCTTTAAAATATACAAATAATGAAAAAATATTTAATAGTAAATTCATGTAAATTCTGTTTATTTAAAACCTTCATATATTAATAAACCCTTATAGATATGCATTAATAAATTCCCATAAAATTTTATCACTATTCCGAATCTTTATTTAATTTATGAATGATTTCAGTATTTATATAATTCAGACTTTACCATGAGTAAAATATAGTCATATAATTGATTGTATATAAATATGTTTTTCTTATAAATTTTACCGTTTAAATTGATTTATGCTTATACATTGATTTCAATCATAAAAATTATATTTGGTTTCTGACGGAATTTTGATGTTGCAAATGGGTCTTTTTCTGCATTTATAGTTGCAAAAAGATATCAGCATTTTATTGTTTGTGTCCTTTATTCCATAGGCAAATTTATTTTCAACCAATTTTATAGAATATATTATGGAAATTTCTACATATAACAAAAGATTTTCAGCCATCGTGACTTCAGTTGGTTAAATATTGCATTTTTTTTTTTTTTCATCCTAAAAATTTTTATTTATTATCACCAACAATGTTTAAATGATAGATTTGGATCAATTCATAAATTTTCTTATTTATTTCATATCCAAACAGACATATTGTCTATGGTTTTAGGGATATCTTTTATATTTAAAGAACTTTAACAAATTAAAAAAAAGTTAAATTTCCTCATTTTATCAAATTAAAACATGTTTCAACACCAAAAATTTAACAAGTGAGTTTTTTATGATAAAAGTTTTTTATAAAATAATGTCCTATGTCAAAAATTATGGATTTTGAAATTGGATTAAAATTATCCGGGGAGAAATATATATTAGTTGATATTTGTCATTAGTTTCCATTAAATATTATTATTAAAATCAATTTGAAAAATTACATTGCCCAAATATGTTTGCATAATTCATTTAAAATGAATTTTAAAAATGAAAAAATTTTTAGCTTTTTATTGAAAAAAGCTAAAAATTAAATTTACTATTTCCAGTAAGCAAAATACAAATGGTGTATTTCAAATAGAAATTATATTGATTAAAATCTTTTTTTTTTTTCATTTTAAAAAAAAAAAAATTTTTTAAAATCAGCCATTTTTGACACATTTGTAAACAAAAGTTAATTTTCATTTTAAAAATTTTCCAAAAAAAAAAATATATTTTTCTGAAACTTTATTTGAGGAATATTAGCTGATTTAAAGTATAATTAATCTGATTTGAAAAAAATTATTTACTTTAAGTTTAAAATAACAGAGAAATGGATTTTTAAAAACAAACAGTAGTGGTGATTTAGTTTTTCACCATCACTTGTCTTTAAACATTGATGACAATGAATGATAAAATCTGTCAATTGTTTATTGTTGTTTTATGGAGACTTTATCTGTTAAAACATAATTTAAGAAAATGAATTTTAAATTTTTTTTTTATATAATTTTAAGTACTCAGTAATCTTAAAAATGTTGAAAAATATTCCATAATCTAATTTTAGGAATGTTGAATTTAAATTTACTATAGTCATCACTCTTATTTTCTGATAATGTCATGTATGGTCGACCATACTTTCAAAAATGGGCACGTTAGTA